TTTTTTTTTTTTTTTTTTGTACCAGGGATCGAACTCAGGCCCTTGCACTTGTGAGATGGGTGGTGGAACCACTGAGCCAAATCCCTGGCCCCTATTAACAACTTTTAAAATGAAAAAAAATACACAAATTCTTCTCCTTAAACTTCTTCAGTTTAATACCTTTTTTTTTCAAATATCTGTCTAAATGCATGTGGCATAAAAACTATAAAGCCACAATTTAAAAATTATGTTTATTCTGCTTATTTTTAGGTATGTTTGTAATCCTATAGATCTTTGTGCTCCTACATGCTATTATATTTAACTGTGTACACATATGACTATGAAATTTATTTAATAATTTATCATTGTCAAATATCTAAGTTGCTTCCAATTTTTGAATTGATGTGGGTACCCCGCGTTCAACATCTTCACATTATAAACACATATATATATATTCTTCCCTTCTTAGGACAAAGTCCTAGGAGTGAAATGACTTGGTTTCAGGCCTCTGCTTACTTCTCTTTGCTTCCCCCTCCCTCTTCTTTCCCCACAGGGATGAGCCGGGTTCAAGGACACAGTAATCTGGTTGGACTGTTGAGCTCAGTGGTAGAGTTGTCAGTGGGAGTAGGAATGATGTGAAAGCCTCAGCGAACATTACAGTGAGGTCTGGGATTTCCCTTCCAATCATCTCTTTTGGCTGTGTTGGTGTGGCCTGCGGCAAGCAGATGAAATTAACAAATGGAAACCACCTTCACCTTCTTTTTGTTATTGGCTTCCAGAGTGCTAGGCTATGACAATGTTTAAGACTGAGGTGTGAAAATGTGTGAAAGGGCACAAGGAGGCCACATGAGAACATGTTGGGTCTTAGGGAGGAACTCAGGACTCCCCTAAGCTGGGTGTGATGGGTCATTATAGATGTCAACATGACTGGATGAAGGAATACCTAGGCACACGACAAACATGACTTCCAGCTATATCTGCAAAGGTGTTTCCAAAGAAGGTTACCATGAAAGTTTGAGTGACTAGGTGGGGAAGACTTGCCCTTAACTGCTCAGGTACAATCCACTCAGCCAAGGGCAAGGAGAGAATAAATATAGAGGGTGAGCTGCTCTGTCTCCCTGACAGATGGGGAATAAGTGGTCTCTTGCCTTGGATATCCCAAGTTCAAGTTCACTGGCCCTTGAACTCAAGCATGGGTTTACACTGGTGATCCCTTCCCTGGGCTTTCAGCCTTCAGCCTTAACCAAGAATCACAACAACCAGTTTTCCTGGTTCTGAGCCTTTCTGATTTGGACTAAGCTATGCTACTGGTATCCCCAGGACTCCAGTTTGCTGAGGACCAATCATGGGACTTCTTGGCACCCCAATCATATGAGCCAATTCTCTAATAAGTCTCTCTCCTCTCTGTCCACACATAAGCTATTGGTTGTCTTTGGAGATCCGTGATTAATACAGTGGGTATGATCAGCCCTCCCCCTGCGTCTGCCTGACTGCCAAGTCTGACATGGAGCATGGGCCAAAGCTTAAGAGGAACAGGGCTGATGCTCATAAAGTGAAGTCCAGACAACAGTCACCTGTGAAGGAAGACATCAGGGCACTTCCTCGTTCTGTGACCTTGTCTAGCAAAAGCTCAGAAAAATCACACTGATTCTGTGAGAATACAGGCCAGCGGCACTTTCCTGCCAACTGGTGGGTGAGAGGTGATAAGAAATCTTGGCCCACACATGTTCTAGACAGCAAGTGACCCCACAGCCCAACAACACAAGTCTGAGTTCATATACAGTTCTGGGACCTCTCTCCCTCTGACAACCTGCACTGCCAATTTTCACCTTCACCACACGGGTGCCTCCTACCTGTGGAAGTGCTACTTCTTTCTCACCTTCTCCAGTATCCACCCACCTGCATATCCTGACTGTCAGTATCGGTGTACAGGCACGGGGAGGAGGAGATTCTCTAATGACCCCTGATGAATGGAACAGGCAGGACACAGCTTTGGTGCTACTCCTACCTAACAACTGCAACAGAAGAGATTAAACTTGCAGCTCCTTTTCTTGGAGACAAGGTCCTGCTGTGCTGCTCAGGCTGGCTCCCAAACTGCTGGGCTCAAGTGATCCTCTGGCTCCAGCCTCCCACATAGGAGTGACTACAGTTGGCTTTGTATGTTATATCTATTATATGTTGGATATCCACAACATTTGATTTAGGCTGAAAAAGGGTTCTATTGCCAATTTTGACATAGCTGAAAACTGCTGGTAAAATGGGAAGAATGTGTGTTCAGAAGTAAGTGGCTCTGGGGCTTCCTGGCTAATTCTGGGATTTGGGGCTAAAGAGCCAGAGGCTGACACATAAATATGTATATAAGGTACAGAGAGCACCTGGCATGCTCCCAAAATAGCCCTTCCTGTTCCCTTCCTGGGCTCTGCTGGGGAGGAGGCACACAGCTTGGGGTCCAAAGAAGGGCAGCCTGAGAGAATGCTGAGCAACTGCCTGTTAGCTCTGTGTCCTTGGGCAAATTCCTTATCTTCTCTGAGCCTCAGTTTCCTACGTGATACTAAGACCTACTTCAGAGTGTCAGTATAAATATGAAAAGTTAAACCCTTTATAAAAGGGCTCGGCATGCCTGATACTAATACTATGTATAAAGTGGATTCACATAATGACCCTTGTCTAGATAGTTCTTTCCTTGGTGACCTTTCAAGATCACACACATTATCACCCCACCCCCATTACCCTGTGTTCTGCTTGTGTCTACCATTTTGTTTGGAGGTAATTTGAGTTCTTTCCTGAGACAACCATAGTGGTTCCTAAAGTATGGCAACAAGTTCTAGAAAGACATCTACTTCTAGCCGAAATAGAACCCAGCCTGTAGGCTAGGAGAAGCTTCAAGAGAGAGGGAGACCATAAATCTATAAATCTCAAAGTATTCTTCCAGGGCAAAACCAGAAGCCAGGGCTGCTGTCACAGAATAAGGAGGTGTTTCCCTGTCACACACAATGTACTTCAGCATTGGGCACAAACATCCAGCAGGGACCCACAGGCCTTGAAGAAACGAGGCTCAGCAAGTTTTCCATGCTGAAAGTGATGGTAAAGCTTCATGTGTGCTTAGAGCTCACCCATGTAAGTCAAGATATCCTGTTCAGGTCATTCGAGGAATCTAGGAAACTACAGATGAATTGATAAGTAAAATTAATATTAGTTTTACTTACCTTAATAACCTCCATGAACTAAATTTTTTAGTTCTGACTCAAATTTTAAATATCAATTACGACTGTAAGCGCTGTCAAAAAGTTAGGTTAAAGTCACCTAAAAATTAATTCCCATGACTAGTTTTAAAGACTCACAGTATAGCCTGTGAATGTTCCAGAATGTGATGACAAAGAATTTTGGCTGGTTGCCTGGTTGGTTTTGAAGCGAGGTCTTGCTATGTAGCTCAGGCTGACCTCAAACTCATTCTATAGCCCAGGCTGTCTTCAAATTCATGACCCTCTTGTTTCAGACTCCTGAGTACTGGGTTTACAGGTGTGTCCACCACTTTCAGCTTAAGATTAATTTTAATGCAATTTATTCATTGCTTGATTTTAACTATGGATAAAAATAAATTTGAGGTATTCCAAATACTGTGATTCACATAAGAAAATATCTCATGTCCTTCCAAATAACACAGAACCTTGTGGTTTGAGACAGTGCTGAATGTCATGATATTTCCTGCATGTCCACTTCCTTATGAGCAAAAATAAATAATGACAACTAGGCATGGTGGCCCATGGCTATAGTGCCAACTACTTCAGAGGAAGAGGTGAGCGGAGTGCTTGAGCTGAGAAGTTGGGGCCAGCCTAGGCAGCACAGGGAGAATACATGTCAAAAATAGATAAACCAGCTCTTGCTATGTGACATCGGCAACCTGCTTGAGTCATGGAAATTGCTATGTACCGACAGCAAATGGCACATGTGGGTCTCCTTTATCTCACAGCATGGCAGGGCCAAGAAATCAGGCAATGTTAGTGACATCTCAACTCGATACAGAAGCAGGCAGCTCTCCTGGGGTAGAAACCAGGGTGTGGCCCCTCAGGGACCCTCTGAACTCATCCTCATGGACACCCGAAAGGGCCAGGATGATTCCTCCCCCTCCCCCTCCCCCTCCTCCTCCTCCTCTTCCTCCTCAGGGTTTCTCCCAACTTACCATTTGTTCTTGGTCTCCAGGGAAACGGTCATTTTCATGTACTTCTCTTCCTTCCGCTCCTCCAGAGTGGCAGACACGAGAGAAAGCTCCCCGAAGAGAGAGACCAGCCAAGTCAGGCGAGAGATGCCACTAAAGGCAGGGAAGCCGAACCGCTCTTCTTCCAGTGGGGCAGCTGTGGGGAACCACAAAGGCCATAGGCAATGGAGAAGAAGGAGTGGCGGAGGAAGGGCAGCCCTAGGTGCCATGGGGGGACAAGGCTGGGAGACCCTGCCTCACAGGGTCTGCATGGTGAGTGCCAGCACTGACAATCCAGGTGACTAAATGTGAACTCTCACAGAGGTATCTCTCTTTCACCTGTTTTATTAAATTCAGCTTTATTACTAAAATAAGAAACTCTCCTAGCAACTGCAGTCGATCCAGCAAAAATAATAAAAAGTTCCAGGATGCTAATATGTAGATTTATAAACACACAATATGTTCTGTAGATTTATAAACACATACAAAGTATGACCGAAAAAACCAGTGTATATTTAAGTGAAAAATAATTCATTACAGTACAAGTCACTGTGCCATTAATCCCCTTCGCTTAGAACAACTCACTTTTTCTTGCTACTTTCTGAAGCAGTTCTGTAAGCCCTTTTTTGTTAAGTGTGCATAACTGGGCCGTCCTGGCTACCTTGACGTCTTGAATCAGGTCAAAACACTTCCTTTGCATGGTTATCTGTACTTTGGGGGAAGAGCCACAAGTCACACAGTGCCAGATCCAGCAGATATAGTAGGTGAGGACGCACCGTAATGCTTTGACTAGCCTGCCTTTCTGTTGGACGGTGCTTGGCAGCAGCATTCGCCATATTTTTTAAACAAACTTCATAAAGACACTTACAAAGGAGAACTTCCAGGACTCCTTCAGAATGTGGTAAGGACTACGAAATAAATGTTTTCAAGGCAAGGAGGGGGATATTTGAGGGGGACATTTAAGGAAGATTGATGGCAATGTGGTTTTTTTTTTTTACAGTAAGAAGTTTTTAAACTGTTTCAATCACCCCGTGATAAGAACTCATATAATATACACATATATCCTCTCCAATTACTGTTTTAAAGTTGTCTCATAAACACAGAAAAACCAAGATATTTTAGCCCCTAAAACCTGATTTTTTTTTTCTGGTACCAGGGATTGAATGCAGGACCTTGTGCTTTCGAGGCAAGTGTGGTGCCCCTGAGCTAAACCACAGGCCTTAAACCTGACTTTTGTATATGCTTACACATGTAAATAGCAATAAAGTGAAGGCACAGTGGTAGCTGGAAAGGTGAATAAAATTGTAATTCCTTTAAGCTAGTTCAATATCAGAAAAGAGATCCAGTGTGAAGTGTTTTTTCAGTCTTCATAATCTTGGGTATAAAAAGGTACACTCAAATGAGTGTCCTTTGGAGAAATCTGGTTACATATTGCTCTCCTCCACACCCAGCCCAAATCTTACACATGACCAAAATTTAAACAAAGTTGCGTTAGACACCAAACACATGTCTATGAAATTCACTTAAAACAATGACCACACTCTATAGAAAAGACTGTAAATAAATTGAGTGAAATTACTAGGCTCTAAATGTCAAACTTCAGAAACAAGCTCCTTCTGAGCTGGGCACCATCTGCTCTGGTTCTCTGATCAGCCATGAAAAACTCAAGCCTCAGAGTCTCACTTCAACCAGGCTCTGTCACATGACTGCCATGTGACCTTGATGAAGCCACTCCCACTGTGTTTCAATTTCATGGCCTATACCATGAGGGTGATAAAAACCACCTTTACAAGACTGTCTGTCGCAGGAATTATCATTGATAATGTATGTCGCATTCATACCACAGTCCCTTGTACAGATGAATAGTTACTGCTTATTGCCACACTCTCACATCATTTTCAAAGATGACGACTACTTGAAATGAGGTTCTACCATATTGCCTACACACTCATAAAGGGACAGTGACCACAAGAAGAGTCTCCAGTATGCTCATTTCCTGTTGCCAGTGGAGCTGCTCTAGAATGACCACCATGAAACAAAAAGCCAAATACACACTGTATTCAATACCATGGTAGTAGCTTCTGCCCTTATAATTTACCAGAGGAGGAAAGGGGCTATGTATATTCTATTTGCTTTTGAGGAGAAGTATGAAATATCCTCCTCTCCAAGCACCCACCTCCCAGACCTTTTAAAAGAGTTTTCACATAAAACCTGCTGTTGAAAAATAATCTCCAACTGTTAAGATTTTATGAGGGAAATTTCTGCCTAATGGATTGGGACAGAAGCAAAAGATTCTTGAGCTCTAACATGTTTTGTTTTGTGTTTTTACCTAAGATCCCACCAAGCAATTAAATCTCACTTAAGGAAAAAATAAAATACATATTTTCATTGCCCACAGAAGCATGGAAAAAATAAATTTTATTGGCCCTGAGTCAGAAAGTCTCTAGCAAAAGTGAATCCAAGCTCACATCCTGGAGAGACAGGAAAAAAAGTGATTGGTCTCCGACCTCCCCTGTGATCTGATATCCTGCACACAACTGACCTGTGAAGAGAAGGGATCCTTTCAGTAGCTCTTTCCCTACCACTTCTTTTTTCAGGAATGCAAATTCCTCCATCAAGAGTTCCACATGCTCCTCATGCAAGATTTTTCCTGTTGTGACAAAAATGGAATAAAGAACCAGTCACCACCAGCTGTACATCCATCCTAAAGGCTACGTCTGTCTTCCTCTAGCACAAGACACATAGCACTTATAATGCCACAAGCAGATGCCAGAATGACACACTCCCAGTGAAGGTGGCCCAGGGTCTCTGGTTACAACAGAAAGGAAAATCTAAAATGGTGTCCACCTGTCCCCAAAGGCAACGGGGTATCAAGGAGGTGCTGAGGCAACAGGGTATTTTATATTCTGAACATCAGGGGGCAGTGCAGGACAAAAATAATCTAAAACCTGCAATGCAAAGGGCTTATAAAGGGCAAGACCTAAAAGGATTCTTCATTCAAGGAATTGGCACAGCCAGGTGATTATGAAATGACACCCCTCCCCTTCAAAGAGGAGAATGCCTTAACATGCAAAACTATAATCTTGGATTCTTTAAAGAAGCTGTAAAGATGTTTTGGCCTGGTAGCTTTTCCTGTTTCTATGTATTTGTACGCTCCTCCACAGTTGGGAAGTCCCTCAGACTTTCCTTGTTTTTGACAGTTCTGAGAACACTGGCCAAATATTTTGTAGACTATCCCTCATTTACCTGCATCTTTCTCATCATTAAATTGGGTTTGGGAGTTTTGGGGAAGGAAACCACAAAGGGCTATTTTTATCGCATCCTATCAACAGTAGGTAGTACTCACAGCACAATCATACTGGCCTCAATTATCTGCTGAGACAGTTTTTCTACCCTCTCAGTGGAAAGCCACTCCTTCGCCCCCTTTCCTTGCAGTGCATACTTTAAAAGAAAAACAGTATACATGAGGCATTCTCTTTTGAAGAAATGTAGTCTCTTATGTTGTAGTGTCCAACGTTCCAGCTTGCTTTTTTGTTTTGATTTGATTTGATCATTTTGTTTTGTTTTGTTTGCTTTCTTTTCAGTCCTGGCAATCAAACCCAGGGCCTCATGTATGTATTTCCTCTGTCACTGAGCTACTTCCTCAACTGTTTAAATTTTTTTTTTTCTTTTAATTTTCAGACAGACTCTTACTAAATTGACCAGGCGGCCTTGAACTTGAGATCTTCCTGCCTCCCAAGCAGCCAAGATTACAGGCATGTGCCACAGAACTCAGCTGCTTGTTTTTTGTTTTGTTTTGTTTTTTATCGTGTCCTTTAACTTATTCCTCTATCATTGCATTTCCTTTGAAGTGAAAGTCTGTATTAAACCCACGTAAGCAATGTGCAAGTATACTACACAAGTAATGCTACACGTATCACACCAACTGGCTGGGATATTGGACTGACTCATACATGTAACCCTGTGGTTAAGATGCTGACAACAGAGCTCTTCCTAATAAAAGATTTCTTTCTCTTTGCACTTAGCAGGAAACCTGTGGGACATAGTTTGGCGTCTTGTTACTTTCTCCACAGACACACATAGGTGACCCAAAGCTCCCATCCCTCATTCATTTCTATATTTATCATCCATCTGTTCTTCCCACAAACATCTCCTGAGGGCCAGCTAAGTTCCAGTCAGTATTTAGCTACTGGGGCTACAAAGGAAAGCAGGCTAAACCTTCAGGACTATAGCCTAGTGTTGGAGACAAAAGTTTCGTTAAAGTGTGATTGGTCTCTCTCCATGGTAGGCACAGGGTGCTTTCTTTAGTGACTCTCATAATTGTTCATCATGTTCTGTTTATGGATTTAACATCTCTAACACCAAATATTGGGACAAAAGAATTTGTGACTTAAACTTCATTTAATGATTTCCTTTAGTCCCTAAATATTCTAGTTGCCTTCACAGAGGGACTGATCCAATCACTATAGACATAGAAACCTCTGGGGAGCAGCCAGGCTTAGGGAATAAACTAGGACCTCGAGGATTCTAATTTCCACCTTGTACTTCATAGCCACATGGTTTGTACTGGATTCTAACTTCCACCTTGCACACTGTAGTCATTTTACTCTGTGGCCTTGCATGAATTCTTTAACATCTTTGAGCCATGGTTCTCTACACATAAGCTACAGAAAGTCCCTACTGCTACACAGGCTTTGGACATGTCTGGGTCCTCAAGTAGGAGTGTTAGAGGTGGGGAGAGATCTGGGTCAATGAATGGATTAACTCCTTTTTCACGTGAGTTTTGGCTCTCACAGATGGGGTCAGCTCTGGTAAGAGTTTGCCCCTTCTCTCTTTGATTGTGCCAGCTTTTCTTCCCCTTCTTCTGCATGCATGGAGCATCAAGAGACCCTCACTGAAAGCCACTGAGGCAGCCACCTGATCTTGGATTTCCAGCCTCTAGAACTGTGAGCTAAATAAACCCCTTTTCATTATAAATTACCCAGGTTCATGTGTTCTGTTATAGCAACAGAAAATAGACTGGAATATCCACAGCTAAGGATTTTTAGGATATTACAGAATACAAAGTGCTTAAAAGAGTTTCCAAGTTTCTGCAATACAGTAAACATTTAATAAATTAGTCATTCCTTTAGTGAAACAACAAAAACTATGTATGTCTATATAATTACTCAGACAGATCTGAGCATTTTTCTGTTAGCAGAGTAAGTATCATGTGTTATGACCCTAGCAAAGGTAGAAGTGAATCTTTATTTTTTTTCATTAAAGCAACAGAAGATAAATAAGCCTTGGTCAAAAGTCTGCAGAGTTCCACCCATCCCTCTGCTCTCCACATAGAGCTCCTCAAGTGCTGCTACAGCATGGGGCAGGAAGGAGTTAGGAGCCCAAAAGACCAGGTTAGCAGGATATTGGGTCTGAAATAAGGTTAGGATTGAAAAGGCATAAAGAAGAAACTCTGGAACATAAGCCCTTCTGCAGAGGGTCTGCTCGAACACAGAGGAGCACCGTTACCTTTCTGCTCCGCCAGGGCCCACAGCTCCTGAGCTCCCGCCAGAGACAGCGTCATGGGGTACTCCACTAAGACGTGCTTGCCAGCGTCAAGGAACTGCCTTTGGGGAAAGAGAAAAACACAGAGAAAGAATGCGTCAAATCTGTGCAACAGCAACCAGGACTCTGTGCGCAGGCGCGCAATGGAGGCAGGCCGTGGAGGAATATATCCGCTCACTCTATTCGCACTCTCCTGTGACACAACGCTCCAGTTACATATTAATCTGAATATTCATCCAGTATTTTTTTCAACTAAGTGCTATTTATCCCTATTCACCAGTTACTCTAGAAAAGAAAGATATTAACAAATAAATTACTTGTTATTATGTAACAGCTTCAAATAAAGACTACAGAGCCCATGGCCATTAGGGCTGCCCGAAACAGTCTGATAAGATTTCACTAATGGCTTGAGAATTGGGTCCCGAAGCATGAGTAGGAGTTTTCCAAGTGCAACTCTGCGCAGCAGGTGCAGGGGCTTGGGCGTTCTGTGGTGCTTTGTTGATTTGCAAATTTCTGTGTGGCTGGGGAATAGGATACAGAGAATGGAGGGAAACGGGGTTGGAAGAGCAGCTGGGCTCCCGACTGCAAAGGACCTAGAATGCTGTCAGCCAGGAGTATGGGTTTATGCTCATGATACCAGTGTACAAGCATTTATAAGCAGCGAGTTACGTGATTGCTACCTTTTTTTTTTTTTTTTTACCGGGGATCGAAGTCGGCACCTTGCTCCTGCGAGGCAGGCAGTGGAACCACTGAGCTAAATCCCCCGCCCACATGATTGATGTTTTAAAGAAAATTACTCTGGTGGCAGGGAAGTTTCTATCCACTCCAGAGCTAGACTGATGAAGGTTGGGGCCTGGTATGAGAACCCGGAGGGGAAGCTGGGACACGGGGAGCCAGATCACTCTTCCCTGCAGGAAATACCAGGTTTGCTGGGGCTCCTTCTCCTGCACCAGAGCCCAGAAGATGCTTAAAGGACTCTGAGCTTTGCATTTACATGGGGGGGGGCGAGGCTTTTTCCTGCTGCTCTACAAACAGTGTCATTTCCCCTCCTCAATGACACTATGTCCTTGCTCACTTACCTCATGCAAAAACAATTCCTAGTAAAGGGGACTCTCAGAAACATTCCCCGACATTGAAAGTGTGAAGATCAAATGCTAGGGCTCCATATCCTAAGTCATGTGATAAGAAGGGGGAGCTCTGTTCAAACTTCTCTGAGTTTTTCACCAAGAAAATCCCACTGATTCTTAATGTTTCTGATGTTTCAAATTGTAGCATGCCAAATAAATATGCTTTTACCTATTGTTTTCATTTTCCTAGATATTTGTAACTGTCAACACGAATTTTTTAATGCTTTGACAATTATTTTTATTTTTAAATTTTTCAGCAGCACTGAAGATCAAACCCAGGGCCTTGCACATGCTAGGCAAGTGCTCCACCCTGGCACAGTTCTCCCAGATAACAGTTTTTAAAGGCCGCAGAGTAGTCATAAGTTCCCCCCTTGACTACCAAGATACTTTTGAGGGTCTGAGCTCAGGTGGTCATTTTCACCCGTGCAAGGCAAAAACAGCTGCAGGAAAAACCTACCTGATGTGGTGCTCATGACTGGCGCTTTCACTGCAGATGTAGGCAACCTCAACCTCTGGGCTGGAGAGAGCATCTTCCAAAGAAATCTGCCGAACGCCATCAATGTTCCCAAGCTCCCGTCTATTTCTCAGTAATAACAACAACAACAAAGACAAAACAATGGAGTGCAAAACTAAGTAGAAGGAAGGGGGAAATAAAAATGATTAAGATGCAATGTGTGTATGCACCAATTCCCCAAGGTGAGTGTGCAGAATGTGCAGCAAACATAGACAGTAAAAAAGAAACTAATAAATTAATAAGCATCATCTTTCTCCCCAGCTCCCAACAATGCCCCAGGAATCAGCTTTTGGAAATGAATAAATGAATCTCTCCCCCACTTCCAGGGTACTTTCCATTTGTGGAGTGAGGAGAAAAAGCCTCAGGGCTGAAGTCAGAGGACCTGGCATCAGGTGCCGCTCACAACACATCAGACTTTAAGGAGTCTTTGAGTGCCTTCTTCTCTAAAATAAGAACATGCTTTTTGTCTCACGAGAAGTGATTGCTAGGTCACTTCCAGTTCCAAGTTCTTGGTCCCACATTGTGACAAAGAAACCTAATCCAAATCCAATATGTGGACATGTCTGGGCTCTAAACTGTCATGGACTTCCAGGTTGAGGGTCCATTGAGGAGAAGGTGAAGGTCCCTGCCTCCTGCATGGCTGAACTAGCCTAGTCCAGCAAGGCATGACCACCAGAGCTGTAGAAGAGCCAAAGAAAGCCATGGCAGTTGTACCACACTGCAGTGCTGGGGCTGGAGGGCAGAGGTCACACACAGCGGCCACAGCTGCCCAGGGCAACCAGCAGGTGGCAAACAACAGTAGGCAAAGGACATTGGGGAAGCAGTGGTGGGAGACTCAGGAAAGGCAAGGAACACAGTTTATCTTGGGCAGTGATAGCGAAACTTTTAGAGCTTTCAGTGATACAAACACACGTGCCATAGGTTCACCACCACTGGGTTTCCAAACAGGTTTCCTGGGGAGGTGGCTGAACCTATCAAGTCTGTCTTGGGGAATCAGGGATGAAGGCAGGGCTATGAACTGGGGGTCTGGGAGTTCCCTCTGTGTCAGCCCACTGGCAGAAAACTGGGACTTCAGGAGAAAGAATAGGTTCCACCTTAGCCCTGAGGCCAAACGTAGAGTTGTCTCAGCTTCTGACAGGGGTGCAGGACAGTTTTCTAGCTCATAAAACTGAGGGCCCCCATCCTGTGCACCCTTGGCATCTGCTGAGGACAGGGCCAGCCCTGAGTAAACTCTAGTCCTTCTGGGGCTTCCTCATGTCTCAAAGCCCACTTTCAATCCTTCAAACAGGGACTGGACCTCAGGACAGACAGACTAGACGAAAGTAGTCTTGGGAGCTAAAATATGAAAAAATGTCTGCAATGACCATCACAATGGTTCCTTAGGCTTTACAAAAACATTTATCTGCTGTCTCTCAAGCACTAGAAAATAGCAATTTGCCTAAACTACTTACTGCACAGCTCCACACTCAGCCAGCATCTGCCAGGATGTAGCTCACAATGAATACTGATAAATGATGCTACACTGGATTAGGTTGGAGAGTGGTGTGCACACACGTGTGTAGGTGAGGGGAAGATTACAGGGCAATAAGTTTGGTTTTCTTCAAGTTGTAGGAAATAAAGGAATCCTTAAAGAAATGTTAGGCTCAGCTGGGGATGGTGGCACAGGCCTATAATCCCAGCATTCCGGGAGGCTGAGGCAAGAGGATCACAAGTTCAAGTCCAGCCTGTGCAACTTAGCAACTTAGTGAGACCCTGTCTCAAAATTAAAAAAAAAAACAAAACAAAACTAGGGATGTAGTGCAGTGCTAAGGCCCTACTATGTTTAATCAAGCTACTAGGTGGAACCAAGCAGACCTACATTCAAATCTACCTCTTCAATTCTTCCTGCTGTGTGACCTTAAACTGATGACTCAACCTTTCTGAGGCTCAGCTCCCTTATCTGTAAACTGGGGCTGATGAGGATCTTAGAATGATGTAATGTATGTAAAGCCCAGGGCCATCACAAGGATGGCTGCTCTGATGACAGATGTCACAGCTGGTACACACCAAAGCTCTCTGTCAAGCCCACCCAGCACGGGTTGGCTGTGCCCCTTCAGAAGGAACAGGCCCTGTCCTGGCTTCCCAGCTCTTCTCTGCAGCCCCCCAGCATCCTGCTTGCTGCCCCTCCCAGCTGTGGGCTCAGCACTCTTCGGCCCCAGGCCCATCTTGAGAGCTCATAGGCTGTCCCTCCCCCTCCCCCAGGTCAAGAAAATCTCCACATCCCTCATCTCTCAGTGTGCTTGTGCTGAGTGACGAGGCCCAGAGCAAGGTCAAGCACCTGGACACGAAGCCAATCAGGTTCAGGAGCGCCGAGGACTCATGTGGACTCCGTAAGTCCCTCATCCGCAGGGAGCCAGCTCTGCCAACACCAACCACCACCACACCAAACTTCCTCTTAGGCTGAAACACAGGGCACCAAGAAGGGCTTTGAGAATAGTCCAGCCATCTCACAGGGAACAGCAAACCAGAGGACCAGCCAGCCCAGGACATATGCGAAGCCATCACGCATGCCAGGAGTGGAAGCAGTTGCCTGTCATCCCATCACTCTGGGAGACTGACCCAGGACTGTAAGTTCAAGGCCTGCCTGGGAAAATTAGTAACTTAGTGAGGTTCTATCTCAAAGTAAAATATTAAAAACAAAAAAAGGCCAGGGATATAGCTCAGTGTGAAGGCCAGGCTGGGCTCAAACTTGCAATCCTCCTGCCTCAGCTTCCCAGAGTACTGGGATTAAGGGCTCAAGCCACTATGTCTGACTCAAGTCCACTTTTTCAAGTTACACAGCAACTCAATATAATCCAAGCTGATTTTTAAAATAATCTCTAAGAATAATCTACATCCCTTAAACTCAGTTCTTGAATGTCTCTGAGTGTCAACCATCACTGTCACCTCAGGCAGGCCCCTGTCCTTCACTTTTGGGGCCCAAGTGTGACTACTCCCCACCACTTCTGCCCCGCTTCCTTTACCCACTGCTCTAATCTTGGTTCAAGATTTCTTCCAGATTTTTGCGGAATTTCTACATATTTTGCTATTATTGGTTTCTTATGTAATTCCACTGTGATTAGAGAACATTCTTTACATGGTGTGGTTCCTTTTAAAGGTATTGAGATGTGCTTCGTGATCCAGAGTAGGGATATCTTAATGTTACAGTTTGGATCTGGAATGTTCTCACTAACCATGGACTGAAACCTCCAAAACCGCAGGCTAAGATAACCTTTGTCTCTTTATGAGTTGATTCACCTCAGGTGTTGGTTACAGTAGTAGAAAGCTGATGAACACACTTGGTTGTGTTCTGGGAAAACTTGAAAAGAACAGGAATTCTTCTGATGCTGAGGGGAACTTCCCTAAGTCCGCTGGACCAAAATGACTGATGATGCTATTAGGTCTTCCATATCCTTGCTGATTTGTTCTCTAATTGTTGTAACAATTACAGAGGGGAAGTGAAATCTATGGACAGAATTATGTTACAGATTTGTATATTTCTTCTTTTAGTTTTACAGTTTTGCACCCATGTATTTTGAAACTCTTACTGGGTACCTACTTGTTAGGATGGTTATGTCTTTTTTATCAACTCCTTCATTATTTGGAAATGACTATTTTCGTTCCTGGTAATATTTTTTAGTAATAGTAACAATTCACTTCCAATTTCGACTAATTAGTGTTAGCTTGGTACATTATTTCCCATCCTTTTGCTTTTAATCTATGGGTGGTTTTATTTTTAATGTGGATATTTCACAGGCAGCATCTAGTTAGGTGTTGCTTTTGATTTGCTCTAACAATCTCTGCTTTTTAGTTACAGTATTTACAGGACAATTAACACTGTGACTATTGAAATGGCTGAGTTGCAATTCAAACCCAATCCAAATCTTTCTTATTTATCCAATCTGTTATTTTCTTTTTCTTCCTTTTTAAATTAAGAGCAGTTCTTATAATTCTATTAGCAATAACTTTTTGAGACAATTTAAAGGCTTTTTATTGGATGTATTTTAATTACCACAGTCTACCTTAAAGCAATATTATGCCATTTCATATGCAAGAGCCTTATGACAGTATATTTCCATTTTCTCCCTCTTGAACTTTGTACCACTGTTACACAATTGACTCTATATTTGTCATTAACCCCTTGAGACACCAGTTAGAGTTCAGTCTGGAAAAGAAAAATCAGTCATATGTCACTTAACAGCAAAGGTCTGTTCTGAGAAATGCATTGTTAGGTGATTTTCTCACTGTGGGAACACTGCAGAAAGTGCTTACACAAACCTAAATGGTATAGCCTACTACACACCTCATCTATATAGCATATATGCAGTCCATCAATGAACAGAGTGTCATTATGTGTCACATGACTGAATTCCAAGTGTAAAGAATGTTAATACTGGGACTTAAGGCTGAGAATCATTGCTAGGAGCCACTGCATCCCCTGGGGAATTGGCCTAGAGCACCATCTCTGGCCGTCTCTGGCAACACTGAAGTATGTGCTTCTCCAGAGCCTGCCCAGAAACAAAAAGGGCTGGAAAGCAGCTCATTCCCTCCCAGTGTACAGCTTGAAGGAGGTGACTCCTGGTGACTGACTGTGGCTGCTGCTAAGCCACATGCTGACCTTGACTCATACCCTCAGCTGGAAATGACCCTGTGGGTAAAAGTCCCTCTCTTCTGCTCTCACATCTCCCAGGAGATTCTAATTGGCTGCACATACACACACACACACACACACACACACACACACACACACACACGGGAAAATTGGGAATTGTGATTCCAGACTTCTCTTCTGCCAGGCAGGAAGGACATAGGAAGGGCCAGCACAGTGGCCCACCAAAAACAAGCATTTTAACTGAGTCAGAGTCTTTCAGTCTTATGCTTTTAATCTTTGTTTTTTGACAGTCTCTTTACCAAACAGCAGTGAGATAGCCTCCTGAGAAATCTGGACGGGCCAAAACACATATCCCTGATCAATCGTTGTTTCTTTTTTGACAAAAGGAGATGAGTATTCAGTTATTGGGCTATTATTATTGTATTGTAGTTCACCTAATTAGAATAAATATTTATGGTACTCCTAAGATTACTGAATTTCTACCTTCCGAATAACCACCAGACTAGTAAGTTTCTGTTAACTTCAAAAAAGCCACACTGTTAAGAAACAGCTTCACTGTAAATAGCCAAACTGTTCTGTTTATATTATTAGTAATGATAACAAACTTGTGCACAAAACCTGACTTGTGGAGTGCGACAGAGTGCACTATGAACTGATTTAGGGTTTCGTTTAGATATTATTCCCTTGAAAAATTGACACACAAGCCAGGCACAGTGGCACACACCTGTAATCCCAGCACTCTGAGAGGCTGAGGCAGGGCGATCACAAGTTCAAATCCAGTCTGGGCATTTCAGTGAGACCATCTCTCAAAATAAAAAATAGAAGTAAGGGCTGGGGTATTGCTCAGGGCAAAGGACCTAGGTTCAATCCCCAATTTAAAAATAAAGGCACACCTAGGCAAGATATGAGTGAAAACTGATATTTTAAAAAGAGTTCCTCTTAAGGATAAGAACTTTATTCTTGAGCAAAACTAATTGCTAGAGCATCTACATATCGTGTCTTTTCAAGGTATGTTCTGAAAATGAAAGAAAGAAACTGCAAAGGAAATGGCTAGGGCTGGCCAGGAATAGCTGAGTGGTACAGCACTTGCCTGGCATGTGTGAGGCCCAGGGTTCAAGCCCCAGAACCACACCACCCCTCTGTCACAGTAGCTAACTCTCTGTGGGTAGGAGCCAGAGGCAGAGGGAAAAAAAGGGAAGAAAGACAAAGGGGAGGGGGAAGTGCACACGGATTTGGAGGAGGCTGACCTTTGCAAAGAAAACATCCTATAAGAAGTGCCTGGTAGGGGAATGCACAATAGTCTTCTAGGCCCCAGAATGTCCAAAATCCTTTTGCAGCTGTCAGCCATGCTCTGCCATCTTGAACACATGATAAAATGCCACTACAGTGGTGGTATTTTAAGAGATGAAGAACAGGAATAATTTCAAGACAGCAGAAAAGGGACACACTTAAAGGACAGAAAGAATTAATTCAGGATCAAGCAATAATCACAAAGCAAACTTGATTCCCTACCCCTGGACTCAGAGAAACCGGTGTTGGGTCCTCCAGATCTGAAAATGTAGTTCACAGAAAATTAGTATTAAGAGAATACATGCTGTCAACTTAGAAAAAAGTGTTTTTAAAGGTAAAAAATATAGAAGGAAATGTAAAATCATTACTACAGAAGAAATTTATGTACGAGGTATAAAAGCAGGTTCTGGACTGCTGCTTTGAGAGAGAAAGTAAATTCCAAACAATCAAAAAGATCAAGCTCATATTTTTCATCTACTGTTTGCAAGGTCTAAAAAGTTTGACTATAGAGTGGATGGCAAGGGAAAGTAGAGATCTTCACATGCTGGAGAGGGAAGAAGGCTATAGCTCAGATCTGAAATGTTCCCAAAGCCCTTGTGAATACATGGTTTGTTCAAGGGTTGCTTCCAGCCTGTGCACCAATGGGAGGTGTGGAACTTTGAAGAGTTGGAGCCTATTTGGGAAAAGTCAGATCATTCAGATATACCATTAAAGAGAATATGGGGACCCCAGTCCTGCTCCCCCCTTTTTTCTTTTCTTCCTGGCAGCCATCAAGTAAACTGTCCTCCTCTGTCACACAGTCCTGACATGAAAGAGAGGGTCACCAAGGCCCAAAACACATAGGTTAACCAACCATAGACCGAAGCTTCTAAAACCGTGAACCAAAATAAACAATTCTCTTTATTAAGTTGATTTCTTCAGGTATTTTGTAACAGTAACAGAAAGCTGACTATCATAGAGAGAAAAATAGGCAACCTAGCCAGATATGGTGATACATACCTATAAGTCCAGTACTCTGGAAGACTGAGACAAGAGAATCTTAAGTTTGGAGCTAGCCCAGACAAATTAGCAACTTAACAAAACTATGTCTCAAATGAAAAATAAAAAAAGGGCTGGAGATGTTGTTTAATTCCCAGTACCAAGAAATAAAGAAGGAAAGGAGAAAGAAAAGGAAGAAAGAAGTAAGGGAGAAAGAAAGGGAAGAAAAGAAAAATGGAAAAACAGACAACTTAATTTATGGAGAGCAATTTGGAAATATTTAGCATAGATAAAATGCAAATACTCTTCATTCTGTTAAATCCATCTGTAAGAATAGGTCCCACAGAGCTATACCAGTGAAATGACTTAGCCTTACTTATAATAAGCACAAGATCAAATAATCTGTAAAGCAGGTGGGTATATATTTTAGTACACTTGTAAAATGGGCTAGTACACAGCTGTAAACAAAGAACACAGAAACTCTTTATGTATTGAAAACAAGTGCACTCCAAGATATACCATCATGTGAGAAAAGCAAAGT